CCCTGGTTGCCCAAGGCTTCGATGACCGCTGATGACAAATTGTATAGAGCAACAAAAAAAGTAGAAGGTAGAAATTAAAATGTTCATGATCTATATTTTAGATGTTTCAGTCTATTCGCCAAAGGCTGGCTACTTACCCCAAGTGCTTCGAACAATCCCACCGCTCAACGACAAGAAGTTCATCGAACAGAATTTCGCTAATTGCCTTGTGAAACCGTACGCGTTGCCGCCAGTGAGGTTCACGGACAAACGGGTTGTCTACTGGGTGAGAACTTGCGGTTGTTTCATGTTTCATTATCCTATAGATGGAGTCTAAGGCCAGCTAAACCACTAGTTTTGACTTTGAGCATATGTAGGAGCGCAGGACTACACTCAGCCTCCATCACCTTTACTGAAGAAGCTCTTAGTGATTGTCTCACAAGAATGCTGGGTTGTGAACAAAACTTTCGCCCCAGGACGGGACTAGAACCCGCACCTCTCGCTTTCCGGGCAAGTGCGCTACCAGTTACGCTACCGGGGCACCATTTCATTCCAACTCAGCTTTTCATTATACTCCCTGATTGTTTCCAGAAAATTTCCTGAAGGTGTCTTGTTCGTAGGAAGAAAACAGCTTTCTGTTCCTAGGTCATTTCTCTCGTGAAGTTACGTCATTATTCTGAAGATTAAGAACGGGAGGTGCAATGCCAATGGAACGAGTACGCCGACTTTCTGAATACGGGCGCGAAAGCATGTGCGTAGGGATTGGTGCCCACTGCTATTGTGTCACGAGAATCGAGGGAAGTCGTGAGTCAGGGGCAGTAAAGTAAATTCAGAGGGTGAAGGGGGAGGGGGGAGGCAGTCCTTTGACTTGGTAAGAAAAGCCGCGAAATGTGTGAGTTACTTCCGTGGCGTCTCGTCACGTCATCGCAGTGGGCGCCAGTCTATACGCACATGCAGTAGCGGTCAAAAATGTTCGCCGAAACGCTTTCTCGTGCATTTCAGTTCTCCCCACAAAAAAAGGATATGAAAATTGGTTTCGATGCCTTCCTTTCGAATAAACTCTTCAATAGTCAAGGTTTCAGAAGGCTCCAAAAGGGGTATCTTGTCAATACTTAAAGTTCACTGTTCGAGTGAGAAAAAATGATGCTGGAAAAAACGTTTCGGCGAACACTTTTGACCCCTACTGTACATCGCGTTACTACCGTGTTGGAAAGATCGACGCGCTCGTCCTACTAGCATTGGACCAATTGGAAAACAAATATAATACATTGTTACCTTTGTAACGAAAACTTTCACTGAGTGTTCCCCGAAGTTTTCTTGGACCGAACCTCCGACATTGGCCCCTTCGACGATCAGAAACTGATTTTTCAAACGTTAACTCCCCGTATTTATGCAGTCTCTTTCAGATAGTCGAATATGAACCACTACTGGACTCTTGCGACATGACGTTCGACGACTGGATTCCGCATTGCTTCTGATATACAAAAGGTTTCTTGAAATCTTTGGATTTGGATCCCTACAATTTTACACGTTTCGTGACAAGTTTCGTCTAGAATTTTCTCTTGAATAGCTGACTAATAAAAAAAGAATTTGCATTTGAAGGGCAGAAAGCGAAAAACAAAGTTAAGCTGAAATACCTACTGCTTTTCTTCAATGTTTTCTTCTCCCAAGATTGAGCCTTCAGCTAGGAAATTCCTTTTGGACTTTCGATAAAATGTCAACTGAATAGACGCAGATCATTTATCTCTTTGCATAATTGAATGAATGTATTGCAACAGTTTCTGATAGTTATAGAAATCTTACTCGTTCAGGCTTACAATAATTACGACGGGTTTGTCGTGCTTCACGGCACTGACACATTAGCATACACGGCTAGCGCGTTATCGTTTATGATGGAGAATCTTGGGAAACCGGTGATAATTACGGGAAGTCAGGTAATTACTGTTGGACAAATCTGATCAAGCTGTTCATGTGTCTCTTGACATGCTCGCCTTTTCCAGATACCAGTCGCTGAAGTGCGTTCAGATGGTATGGAGAATCTCATTGGTGCGTTAGTCGTCGCTGCAAATCTGGACATTCCTGAGGTGAGCCTCTCGAATAAGCTGGCGAAGAAATTGGCATGAGGGTTCTATGGGAAGAGTATCAGGAGGCCCGTTACGCGGCGAGATGACAGAAACGCAGACTTGTCTGCGGACGATCGTAGCGTGCACTGTACGATCTGAGACGAAGTATGGTACACCCTAGTCAAGCCGACGTGAAATCGGCACAGTACGCGTTGCGAATCGCCGTCACCCGTCTGCGCTCTGCCATCTCTACGCGCGACGGGCCTCCTGTCGGGTAGCCTCCCATAGAGCCCTCCTGCCGATTTCTTCGTC